ATTACAAATATATTCTTCTCAATCTCCACTATTCCTCAAACTATTGCCATCTATTTGTGCATAAATATATAAAATACACCTATTTTATTTTATTGTATATGTATATATATACATAATATACACATATATGTGTACGTGTACATAATTTAAGAAGTTTGGTGGGAAATAGAAGAAGAAATGGGACAGTAGCTTAAAAATGAAAGAAGGACCAAGGGAAGATTTTCTTGTTAGGTGGTGATGGTTTTTTTTTGGAGGGGTGAGATTAATTGACTGCTTGTAATTGTAGGGGAAGGACCTAGACTGAAGTACAGATAAAGATATAGAAGAAAAACAGCATCATTGAAGGTTTCTGTAATCTTGGACTTAAGGCACACGTGGAAATGGTGGCCTTCGAGAGGCCAGGAGAGACCTGGTTCCTCAGAAATAGGCATGAGTGAGGTAAAGATTAGTGCTCTAACTGGTGTTTGAGGTGGAGGGGCAGGAAGGTGAAGGTGCTCCTAGCGGATGACCTCTGTTTCACTGTGATGAAGGAAGAGCTAAACATAAAAATGGAGGGGTTGGATGGGGCAAGGTGTTTAAGAAAGTGATGAAGTTTGGAAAAGTGACCCTAGGGAATGTGGAAGGGAGCTCACTAGGGACAAATGAAAGGGTTGCTGATTATCACTGAGGTCCTTTGAGGCTAGCCATTATAAATTTGATTGACGTCATTGTTGAGCAGTTTTCTCTCTGAGAACTCAGTCACCTGGAACAGAATTTGAGAGTGATTCATCCGAGTGGGGATGGCTCAGACTTGCTGTACTGAAGAAGACAAAAAGATTGAAAAATAAATTGAGGGTTCTAATAAAAAAGTTATTTAACAGGGGGTTCTGGCTTCATGGAAAACAGGGTGAGGAAGTTTCATTTGGATGAAACTGAACAGGTGAAATGGGAATAAGAAAAAAGGGAAGAGGTTGGTGGGTGTGGTTAGATGCCATGCTGTAACTGATGTACAGCCATTCTTTAGTGTGATTTGTAAGTAGGGTGTGAACTTCAGAGAGTTTAGGAAGCTAAAACAGAGTGGAGAGACAAGTCTTTGACACGGAGGATATGTAGGAATTGGTGGTTAGTTGAATCATCCACTAGATAGCCACTAAACAAGCATGGTGTCTTGTATAGTAATTGTATGGAAAGAAGAGTTTAAGGGTGAGGGTGAGTGGGTCAGTTTCTAAAAATGGGTAGAGGGTGCTGGGCAGGCAAACAGTAGGTATCCATTACAAGCAATGGCTGGATGTGTTTGTAACCCATTCAGGAAATTTGCTCAGAGTAGAAAGCTAAGGCAAACTTAGATCAAACCATCTATTTTGGAGAAAAGTTATCTGCTTATGTTAAAGATACATTGAGGTATCTTTAATATAATGATATTGGTATTAATAATGAGGGCAGGTTATTTGATTTTGTAATTGCCACATTTTGTTAAGTTATTTTATTGTAGACTCTTATCTATTATGCTAAAATCACATTTTAATCATTGCTTCCATTTTAATTCTCCTGTTGGTATAGGTAACTCAGCCCTGAAAAATCACTGTAGATTTCAAGTGGTTTATTGAGTACAAATTATTTTAAAATAATACAAGTGTGTCCTAGTTTTTTTTTTTTTTTAAACTTACAATAGGAAAGAGCTTGTATTTGTCATTTCTACTTTGAAATTTCCTTCTTTTTTATTACTAAAAACATATGAAACTATATGAGGGTATTAGAGAAGAAGTGATAAGCTTCTGCAAATATTGGTGAGTAAGATAACTGGACTTCTGATTCAATTTCCTTATTAACTCAAACTTGTCTTTTACTTTTATCTCCCTTCATCTGCCTTCATGGTCATTGCATCTTCCTTGGTTCAAGAGCTCCCAATTATTTCTTCCTAATAGTTTTTTCCTCCTTCAGTTCATTCTGGATTTTGCTACTGAGGTAGTTTTTCTAAATGGCTGCTATCATCTGCAGAATAAAATCAAAATATCTTTGGTTGATAGGCAAAGCTGTTTATGATCTGCTCCTGCCTGACTTCAAACCTGTTCTCTTGACACTGCACAATGTAAAGAATTATTTGCTAATTCTCAACTGTGCCGTGTTCTCTCATGCCTTTGTGCCTTTGCATGTTCTCCCATGCCCATAATGCTAATCCCTTCTTGGTCAACTTTGTCCGTCACATCCAAGTCCAAGCATTATCTCCTGTGTGAAATTCTGTCTAACTCCCCCCTGTCAGATTTAAGTCATCTTCCTTCCATCTCCATTAGTGTATACCTGCACCAAAGAGAGTACAGTACGTTGCTCTGTAATTGACAGCCATGCCACATTATAGAAAGGAATCCAAAATTTATCACAACCACAAATGTTCTTATTGGCTTGGTATGTGATAAATGTCTCCACCCTTGTTCCCAAATAACTAGCATTTATACGTAATCTATTTTTTTAACGCCATATTTAAGCCTTCAACAATTTGTGGATATAAGCTGGTGGTAGGTGGTGGTGGTGGTGTCTCTGTGCAGGGAGGGATAATCTTCATTAGAAGCACAGAAATTTTTCTTACAGAAATATTGAAATGCTTTGCAGAATGATCAGAATCATTTTGTAAGATCAACTAAACAGTTTCATCTTTTTTTGTGTGTGATTTGCTTATAAAATGCCAAATATGAATATTAAATAGAATGCCACTACCCTATTCATTACCCCTTTCGTTTCAATATCTTGTCTTTCCTCACTTACTCTTTCATGGAAAGTCTCTTCTTGGTAGACTTCAAAAGGGCAGTATTGCCGACTTGGAGTACATGTGAGGAAGACTGAATGATTCTGTGAGCATGTGTTTTAATCCCTATTACGAGCTTTCCTGCCCTCTCCTGCCTTCTAGTCCTTGCCCCTGGGCTGGTGTGCCCCTTTAGTCTCATTTTGTCCTATGGGTCTGTCTAATCTTTGGCTAAAAGGTGAACCTTCAGAGTGACTTCATTACTGAGCTAGAAGGGTGTCCGGGGGCCATACTCTTGGGGTTTCTCCAATCTCTGTCAGGCCAGCCAGTAAGCCTGGTCTTTTTTTGAGTTAGAATTTTGTTCTACATTTTCTCCAGCTCTGTCCGGGACCCTCTATTGTGATCCTTTCAATTTCATTTTTTGTGAAGCATAAATATTATACTTGGCTGGCTAGTTAGTTAGCAGCGTGAAACCCTCTCATGATCTCTAATTGTAGTGGGAATTGTCCCACATAAAAATGGTGACTCATGCAATTGGAAATTACGTATTATCTGAGACACAAATGATTAAATACATTGTAAATGATCTCCTCTCATCTTTACTGTAAGGTTAGAATAACTTGAGCAAGTTGGTTTTCCTACATATTTACACTAAACTATTATGAGTATAGACTGGTCACTACCCCAGCTTTCTTAAATGTGGAAAATAACTTAGGAGAACAAGTAAAATTGAAATTGGTACACTCAGAATAATTTCTTTAGGTTTAACTTTAAATCTTGTTGAGGTGAGTAGTATATTAGGTTTGTGTTAGGAAAGAGCTGGAGATGCAGTGGGATGATAGGTTGGATCCTAATTCTTAGGTCTTTTAATGCCAGTCTCATAACCT